CTGCGCAGCTGGCAGCATTGCGCGCTGAGGCGGCCGATCGTGCGGCGCAGCTGAAGCGCCTCACCTCCATCCTGGATGCTGCTGCCGGCGGCGCCCCTGGAGCCATGGCTATGAAATTGAACGCCATGCTGCATGCCGAGCAGGAGGCCTGGGCCGCGGCAGAGAAGGAGAGAGCGAGGGAGTACGAGGAGGGAGCTTCTGACGCCAAGCCCCAGGGCCGGCCCACCGCCGTTTTCGAGTGCGAGCTGCCCAGTGACCCCAAGGTGCGAGGGGTGTTGTTTCTTGGGGTGTTTCTTTGGGGTGTTTGCATGAGTGCTGCAGACTGTCCACCTGTTGTGTCAGCACTCTCCTTGCCGAAATCGTCCCTTCACTCCTGCAGGCAGCCGAGGTCCATCCATCCCCGACCCTCCCCCCAGGCTCCGAGGAGGTCGTCACCCGCACCCGTGCCGCCTGTCCAGGGGGTACCCACCTGGACGAGGATGCGACAGTGCCCACCGCCTACCTGAGCCACAATGGCACCCCATGCGCGACCTACAACATGTACGGCGGGGACCATGGGTGCGCCAACATGTCCCCTCAGCCATGGGTGGCAGAAGGTGGGGACTGGACGGACACCACCCCCGGCGCATGGACGCCGGGGGCCAGCAACGGCTGGACACCTACCAGCAGCTGTGCCGGCTGCACACCCCAAGCCTACATGGCAGCAGGCCACCTGGAGACGCGGGCGCCAGAGCCAGCTGCATGGCAGTTTCCTACACCCCCTGACCACCACAGCCCTCAGCCCCTTGTCTGGGCTGCTGACCTGGAGGCGCGGCCCGACGCCAGTGTGAGCCCTGGAACTGTGCACGAGGGAGGCGCCATCACGGCCTCTGGCGAGGAGCTCAACACACATGGCTCCCTGGCTGGCTCATGGGACGACTGTGATGCATGCTTGACCCCCATCTCCGCGGCCTTCTGCGCTGCTGAGCGCAGCCAGACGGCTGCCTCGCCGACGGCCTGGCCTCCGCCCCAGGACGACCTGGAGTGCACGGGCTGGGAGCACTTCATCCTGACCCCAGAACGCCCGCCCATGACCAGCGCACAGCAGCAGTGGCATGGCTGGAGCTTCGTCACACCCTACCCACTGCGCCTGGAGCAAGACTCCCCCATGCCAGGCCAGGTATTTGAGGACCTGTGATTGCTGCCCACCACCTGCACATGCGAGGTGCCATTGCAAGGTTGTTATTGAGATGCTGACGCTTTTTTTGTTGCTTACAAATTGAGTCTTCGCTTACCGCATTGTGATGTAGAACAGAATAGGAGGGATTCTGTTTCTGGGTTGGCCTTGTAACTCTCAATTTGTAGAGCGGGTCGCATGCTGGAGCCAGAGGTCGAGCCTGTCCTGATCACTCTCTGTATCTTGGGGTCCAGAAGTCGTGCATCGGTCCTGTCCTGCGTCTCTCTGCCACATGAGGTGCAAGCCAAAGGACGGGGCAAACCCAGGATAGGAGAAGGTGTGACTGCAGGAGTCGTCGGCCGCAATCTAGCACTGACACACCTGACAAACACCGGGAATGATGAAAGCATACCGAAGGACCTCACTTGATCGACAAATGATACCTTTGGTGATGCAGACACTCTCGCGAGCACTGGCGTATTTGTGAGTTGCTTTCTGCGATGTCAACCAGCTTGGCAATGCGGATCCCTCGAGATTCCGGGACTGCTGCGTTCCTCTCACCCGACACGAGGTGCGTGCGACGGGAGATGCTCCCTCACGAGGCGCCATCAACGCAGATAACTCATACATCTTCACTTTTAGTATTCGCGTAATCCCAGGCGATTGAAGGCGATCCATTCTACATCCACGACCCTAAGCAAGGAGACATGATCACCTTTGCAGTGCATCCAACGCGCGCCCATGCCCCGCCCGCGGCCGGATACCACAAACTCAGTGCAAGGCCCCATCACCGTGCTCGCTACGGGCGGCGAGCCCCCTCCTCCCCTCGAGCCGACCTGGTGGTCGACTTCCCCCGCCTGGCCGCCCCAGCACGAGAGTGGATTGCCGCGCACACCCCCGGCTGGGCGGGCGGGTTTGATGGGAACGCCATGAACCGCATCCTCATCAGCGACATCGTGCGTCCCGACCCACTCACAGCTGCGGTGGTCCTGGCGGGCCTGATCACAGTCCTGAACTGGGGGGGTGAGTATGCGGGTCGTAGCATCTGGGTGGGGCTGACGGAGAGGGGCCAGACAGGGTGTCATGTGCACCGTCCGTGCCCTTGCGGAAGGCGAGTCACCCTTCCAACCCCGGGATGCGAGCAGGCGTCGGCGTGCTGCCCTGGCTGCGCGGGCATGACAGGGACACGCGCGCCACGCTGGCCGCTGACGAGCGCTCGGGCCTGGCCTGGCTGGCGGCCATCACCGCCCTGGCACTCTGGTGCAGCGCCAGCGATGTCTCCTTCCACTGAAGGGTGTGGGGCGCGCGTTTTCGAAGGGGGAAGGGGGTGGGGGGCGCGCCGTGCGGTCTATGGAGCGCGCCCAGCTCCCCCCCCCCGAGGACGGAGAAGGTGCACAGAGGAGGAGCGGCCAGCCCACTCAGGCGCAGCGTGGGCGTGCTGCGCATGGCCCCCGCCGCGGTCAATCGGCCGCTGACAGCGCCGCGGCGCAGAGGTCGGGGCGCAGCGTGGGCGTGCTGCGCATGGCCCGGGCGGACTCCCCCGTCCACCTGAAGTTGAGCACGACGGAGGGTACCAGGCCGGCGGAGCGCACCGTGGGCCCCGCGCCGGGGTCCAGCCGCCCGCCTCGCGCGCCGGGCAGCGCCAGCTCGAACGTGTTCATCGGGTCCGACAGCGAGTCCGTGACCCACTGCAGCACGGCCGCAACTGGCTCCCGGCCGTCAAACTCTCCCTGTACGTGATGGGTGAGGCGTGGCGTGAGGTGGGGATGAGGCATGGGGTGGCAGGGTTCGTTTGGGAAGGCAGGGGGGCAAGAGTCTGCTGCAGGGCCTTATGGTATGAAGAACCAGGCCGCTCAAGAGGCCAGGGGGAGGCGTTTCAGATGAACCGTCGCCGGCGTGCAGCAGGTGGGCGTGGCTGTTTGCCCGTCCCCCCGCTTGCGAGCTCCCCCAGGACGGCTCTTTCCAAGAGCGCCCCCTCCCCTCGCCCCCCCCTCAAACACCTGCAGGCTGATGCCCTCTGGGAGACGCACCCGCACCACCGCATGGTCCCGGGTGCCGGCCGCGGCGCGAGCCCTCGCGGCGGCCCTCTCCCGCATCGCCGCCGTCATGAGGACCTGCAAGCGGCGCCGGGGGATGGGATCAGGTTGCGCGCGCGGACCTGTCCCTCGTGATTGTGGTCACGTGTTGCATGGTGCAAGGAAGATGCGGGTACGATTGCGGGAAGAGGGCTGGGTCACGGGCTTCGAGGTCCGTCTTCAGTTGGGGAAGAGGGCTGCACCTGGTCATTGGGGGCACAGGCAGTAGAGCGCCGGCGACACATGCCTCGCACGCCGTCCCATGGGCGGCCACCCCCCCCCGGGCCTAGCCTTTGCTCTTCCCCACCCCCCACCCCGCCCGTTCGAACCCCACTCATTCCCCCCGGCCCCGGCTTGCCTGCTCCTCCTCTCGCCGCCTGGCGGCGCCCAGGAACGCGGCCTTCAGCTCTGCACCGGTGCGCTCGAAGAACCACGGGGGCACCTCACGCTCGACCGAGGAGGGCAGGACGACCCTCGTTGCGCGCCGCCGGGCAGGGGCCGGCTGGACCCCGGCGAACGGTGGGGCTGCTGCCGGGACCATGCAGCTTGCGGAAGGTGACCCCGCTGCTGGACCCGCGCCGCCCGCAGGAGCGGGCTTTGGTGCCGGACCCGCACTGGCTGCGGGCGCACGCCCCACCCCAGGCTCTGCGCGGGAGTCTCCTGCGGGCTGCTCTGTGGCGTTGAGGTGCCGCAGCATCTGGCAGGCGGCCCGCAGCGGCGCCAGGTCGGCCCCTGGCTCCAGCACCGCAAACCTGGGGCGGCGGGAAACGAAGGAAGAAGGGCGTAGGGGTATGAAGTCAGCGACACAGCGTGCACCGGGGCACTGCGCCCGGGCGGGAACCGAAGTATGCAGCGCCACGCGGCTCCATTGCCCATCCTGCCTCTCCGACCCCGACGCCGCACCCTCCATCAGCCTCGTCGCCGGGCTGCAGCTGGAACCCTGCGGCCAGCAGCAAATCCAGCCCGCCTTCGGTCTCCAGGATGGATCCGCGCAGGACAGGGTTGTTCAGGCGCAGGCGCCGGAACCTGGCCTCCCCAGGCTGGGACAGCACATTGCCCAGCAGCTTCAGGAGCAGGCTGGAGGTGGCGCTGGCCATGGGGGGGTCCACGCCGGCCAGCAGCCCCACCGCGTCCACCAGCTCGGGGGTGAAGGAGGCTTCGGCAGGGGGAAAGTCGGAGCCACCTGGGGCAGGCTGTGGGAGAGGGGGCGCAGAGGGGGGCGCAGGCGCAGAGAGGGGCGCAGGCGCAGGGGGAGGTGCTGGGCCGGCTGCTCCTCGATGCGCGGTGTTAACTTCACGGGATGGAGTGCCATTCGTGCGTGCAGCGGATGGCACAGACTCATAGCGAGTTGGAGGTGGTCGCAGCCGGGCCTGTGTTCCCGGTGAGTCAGCCGAGGCATGTGCTGGAGATGAGGTGCTGGGATCCTGAGGGGGATGGGAGAAGGTGTGAGACCAACTTAATGCTATGTTGCTATATTGTCAATCGAAGTTCTCCCTGCATCTTCAACACCAGCACGATGCATCCCATACCTGTGCCGCAGGTCCACCTCCGAGCACCCTGCCAGAACCCTTCCACTGAGGCTCGCCACCAACCGCCTTGCTCAGTTTAGCCTTCCACCCCTTCCACGACTTCTTCACATCATCCATGGCAATGCTGGCATCCTCCTAGCGATCGCTCGTGAGCTCCTGGTCCTTGAACATTCGAGATGCCCGCACCAAACGAACGTACATTCTCCGCGACCGCTCGCTGTTTCTTTTACCAGGCACATAAACGAACTTGCATATTTCTCAGTCAGCCCACACTCATACTGCACATTCATTCTCCCGAGACGGTGGTTCAGGGTTTGTGAAGCTTCAGGGATTGCTGACACTGATATGGTGGGAAAGGAGGAGCGTCTTCGAGCGACAGTATTGCTTCATGCTGGCGGGCCCACTGCTGGAAAGGGAGCTTGCCGTCGATGCCACAGGCCGGTATGACCAGATGTGGGATCTCGTATCTGCCAGGCTTTACCACAGGCGTGTTTGCAGTGTTTCTCATGTAGATGCACAGTCCAGGACGACAAGGTATCACTGACCCCGTCATACCTGACATGCCTGATTGAGGCCAAGGGACTGAGTTTTCTGATTGACGAAGGTCTGTACCTCCCGATTGGATGACCTGCTGTGGTGGGGGTGTTTCTGAAGGTTAGGTATGTGAGCGCCCTTGACATACCAGCTGCCGTGGACCTTCCCACCCCCTGCAGCTGCGCGCGCGCTCAGGGCACAGATCCAATGATATGGTCGAGCCTATCCGCGGGCAGGAGTAACAAGAATTACTGCTTCTATCACATTATTTTATCATTGCTGAACGTGCTGGCATGGTCAGGTAGGCGACCTGATTCATTCTCCCCGCTGCACGGGTCTCGGACAGAAATAGGCATGGCGGAGAAATCTGAGGACAGCAAGCCCGAGCTCTACAATGAAAAGGTTACCCAACAAGCCACGCTGGTCGTGTGGGGGCCGGCACGCGGTTTTGAGCCCCGATTTCATGGCTCCCTTTGCCTGGCGCGGGCCACATGCGGTTTCCAGATGTTCACCCCGGCCCATTCCAACCACAGGACGTTTCCATCAGGGTCAGCCAGAAGCCGGGCTACCTGTGCCGCATCGAGGCGGAGTGCAGCCTGCCCCTGCCCCCCGACACCCTGTTCCACCAGATCGTGACGCACCCAGACAACGCGACCATCTTCAGGAACATGGACAGCTGCACATTCCGCAAGATCCTGCAGCGATCAGATGCGGTACGCGTGCTGGAGGTGGAGCACGCCGCCAACTGGCGCATCCTGCTCTTCCGCGGCACCTTCAAGACCAGGTGGGTGGGTGGGTGCGAGGTGTAAGATTTCAGGGCACAGAGGGTTCTGTGCTCTGCGTGTGGCGGCCACCACCTGCCCTGCACGAGATACGAAGGTGGGTGGGGTGGGGGGGGGGGGGAGGAAGCAGGCCCTCTCCTCCATGGGACCCTGAGGGCCTCCGTGCATGCTTTGACCTTTCTCGCCCCCTCCCCCCCACTGACACCTCCCCGTCTACACCACACACACCTTCTCAACGGCAGACTGCGCGTGCATGAGAACCGGGAGGACAAGGTGATGAGGTTCGAGTTGCTGCCAGGCCGGGGGATCATGAAGCGTTTCAATGGCGAGTGGCGGTTCAAAGCCGATGAGGATCGGCCCGGTTGGACCAGCACCCACCTTCACCAGGTGGGACATTGACTGACTTTGCGCTGTTCGGTGGGCTGGAGGGTCAGTGGCCTTGGGTGCGCCTCAGATCCTGTGCCGATGACCATCCCCGAATCTTGGACCCCGCCGCGCAGGAGCTCGCGCTGAACATCAACCCCCCGCCGCCGGTGGACCGGCTGGTGAAGGCCATCTGCCGCTCCGTGGTCCTGCGCCTCGTCGAGGACGTCCAGGCGTGAGTGACCCAGGCCGTACTCCGCCTGGCCCAGGGGCTTGCTGATGTGGCAGGCCTGTCTTGCACGCACTGACTCCCTGGACCGCGGCCTGCATCGCAACACGCCTGCCCCGACCCTGGCCCACCCCTGCAATCTCGCCCCTGACCTCAGGCCACAGAATCCCAAAACCCAAAGTCCTCCCCACCCCCCTTGCTCGTCCCAACAGGGAGTCCACCAGGATCCATCAGGGCAGGCCCTCCCTGGTGCCATGGGAGCAGGTGGACGACAAGGAGATTCTCTGACGCAGCATTCTTTTGCACCAATAATTACATAGGAACCCAGGCCGCAGAAGGGGTGTGCCACACGGGGGGGGCGTCTGCCCCCCTTGCCCCACCTCATATTTCCACCCCCCCCATGTAAGAGCGTTGCGATCCCGCAGGGTATGTGCCGACAAGGGGTCGCAGACCGCCGCCATGACCTCGCCAGGCAGCCCCCCAGGCAGCTCCAGCGCACCGCTACACGTCACACGCTGGCACGCAGCACGTCGACGAGCCAGGCGTACTGCAGATCGTACCGCCGCCGGGCCACCGGGTCCGCCAGCGTCCCGTGCGCCTCCTTGATCGCCGCGAAGAGCGAGGCGGCTGCTTCGGCGGGCAGCGGGGCCGCCGCCTTGTCCGGATGCAGCGCTAGCGCCAGGGCCCTGGGTGGCAGGATGCGGCAGGAGGGGTAATGTTCGTGTGTGCTTCTTGGGGGGGAGTAGTTTGGATGTGCAGCGCCACAGCGCGAGGGGCGCTCAGGGGAGGCGCAGCCCAGGTAAGGGGACCAGCATCGATGGCCTGGGCGGCGCAGGCACGTCCTTCTGGCCCCCCCTTCCGCGACACACACATCGTTCGCTACAATCAACCGACCCTCAACCCGCCTGAATGCGGCCTGGACCTGGGCCTTCCCCGCCCGCGGCTGCAGGCCCAGCAGCGCATACAGGTCCACCAGGGGCCCCTCCAGCGTCGCCAGGTAGGCGGCACGGGCCTGCAGCCGGGCGTGGGCGCCGGCGGCGGCGCCGACCGCCTCCGGCGCCCAGGCCCGCAGCTCGCGCGCCGCCTCATCCACGCAGCCCAGGCGGAGGTAGAGCGCGGCGCGGTCGCGCGCCGCGCCGCCGCCGCGCAGCGCGCCGCAGCAGTGCAGGTCGGCCAGCGCCGCCGCGCCCTGGCCCGCAGCCTTGAGGAGGCGCGCGCGCCGCGCGAACAGCGCCGCCCCGCGCGCCGGGTCGGGGGACGCCTGCGCTCGCCAGGCGCCCAGCTCCGCCGACAGCGTGCCCAGCGTGGCGGGGAGCCCGGGCGAGCTGCTCCCCTCTGTCGCCGCCGTCTGCTCGGGCGAGGCCTCGGGCCTGGGCCCGGCCACGGGCGAGGGACTTTCTCCGGACTCCATGCTGTCGGCGTCCGAGGATGGGGGCGACGTGGAGCCCTCCCCGGGTTCCTCGCGGGCAGGGCCGAGGTCCACGCGCGCCGCAGCGGCGGGCAGCCAGGCGCCCTGGCCCGGGCCGTCGCTCGAGGCGTGCGAGTCGGCGTCGTCGCCGGCGGCAGAGGCGCCAGACCCCGAGGAAGTCGAGCAGGACGAGCGGGAATCCATGGCTCCGGCATGGGCGCCGGTCCAGCGCCGGTCTCGCTCCCGCCCGCCGCACGAGCCGGGGTCCGCGAGCGCGGGCCCCGGCTGCGCCCGCTCCAGCTGCAGCTGCAGGGACCGCAGCGCGCTCAGCAGGTCGCCGTCGGCCGGGGCGTCGGCGCCGGGCGCGCCCCAGGCGCCGCTCAGCCGCCGCCCGGGCCGGCGGCCTCCGCCCCGCTTCGCCAGCGCCAGCTGCTCCTCCAGCACGCGCGCGCGGGCGTTGGCCGCCGCCAGCTCCGCATCCAGCCCCGCCACCTCGGCGCGGCGCTGCGCCAGCCGCTCCTCCAGGCAGCGCTGCTCCTCGTGCATGTCCTGCACGCTGCGCTGCGCCTGGCGCCAGCTGGCGTGTACGGCGCGCAGCTCCTGCATGTGATGTCAGAGGACGCGGGGAAGGGACGCACGGGTGGATGTGGATGAGCAGGGCGCGGCATAGTGCAGGGTTCGGCGGACTGATCGGGCGGCCCACGCCCATGGGTGGGAACGGGGACGCAGGGGTGCGGCACAGGGTCCCCTGAACCCCCAGTCTCATCCCCACCCCCCCGATGGAATGGACGGAGGTAAGTCGGGGCTGAACGTGCAGTGTCGCCGGGAGTCAGTCAGGCTCACCCCGCCAGCGAGGAGCAGCCCAAGAGCACACCACCTCGCTGCACCCACCTCCTCGCAGCTCGTCAGGCGCAGGCTGAGCAGGTCCCGCTGGAGGCGGTACCTGGCAGCGGCGTGCTCCGCGCTTTCCTTGGGAACCTCGGGGTCCCAGCGGATCTGAGCCCCGGAGCCGCACAGTCGCGCCGGGTCCTGCACCTGCAAGGGCTTTTTTGCGGAGGGATTGGTGACCACATCGGAGGCTGGGCATGGGAATTGTGTACAGCATCTGGCAGCCAGGGCGCTGAGGTGTACTTTCCCAGCCGGTAGGAGAACAGGCCGCCCTCACATCTGGGTGTGGGCCATGGGCAAGCCTCGTGTCCTCAGGGAGCCGCGGCGCCCCAGGCCGCCGCCGGGTCCGCGGCCTGCAGGGCGAGTGGGGAGGACTCGATCGGGACCAGGCGGTGACGAGGGAGGCATCTGCACCTCTGCCCCATGCCGACCTGGTGGTGGTGGTTGGGTGCCCGGGATCGTGAGCCCAGTCCTCTGTGCCGTCCATGGCCAGGTGCTGGGGCTGCATGGCATCAGGCTCTGGGCGGGTCGCCCCGCCCCAGCCGTGGCTCGACCTGGGAGCGCGGGGGGTGCAGGCCGCCTGGTGGGCAGGCTTGATGCCAGACATGTCGAACATGAGGAACTCGTCCTCGACGTAGGTGGCTCGGGGGAGGGGGGTCGACTGAAAGTCGGTGGTAGGCTCCAGATCGTGGCGGCCTGGCGACCGCCTCGGCGGTGTCTGCAGGGCCGGGGGGACACGAGATCACAGGCAAGGGGGGTGGCGGGCGGCGGGAAATGGGGTGGGATGCCGTCACTCCCCGACCTCACCTCCAGGCAATGATCCTGTCCAAATCTAGTGAACTTCCGCATTGTAAGATGTGTGTGAGTAATGCGCGAGCCAGGCGGCCGCGCCGTGAGCGCAGTGCGAGTCAAGCGGGCGGAGAAGACCTTGCACGACTCCGATGTAGTGAAATCAGAGGTGGCATCTGATCCTGCCCTATCATTGAAGATGTGTTGAATTGATCTAATCTTGTATTTGACCACGAGGCGGACAGTCTGGTTAGGTTCTCGAGCTGTCAAAGTCGCTGTCATACCTGAGTGCTGCGCTCGTGCTGCGGCCTTTTGAAGGGCGGGGTGAGGGATCGTGCTATTGGGCGAGGAGATCGGTTCATCTTCAATAACATTTCAGTCCAATATTCCAGTCTGCTCATGTCGCCATTCACATTTTCTGTCAGCAGGTTGCGCCCAGTGGACTCTGGACGCTTCATGTGCATGCTCGCTCACTATCAGATGCATGCTCGGCACAAAGCATCAGGGGATGGACTCACTTGCTACTTCCTGAACAATCCTACTGAGATATGGTTTCTTCATGATGCGCATGACTCGAGGGGTGAGGTGCTTGTATAAAAGCTTCCTGGCGACAGTTCAATTGTTGGCAGCCATCTAGTTGTCTGGCGGTCCCCCATCCATGAGTTTTGGGGGCTGCTCTTCAAAATTTCCTGTGATTAATTATTTCTGCCGTGGTATGTGGGCCGACTACCCTTCTAAACATCAAATATATCACTGGGGCGCTGATAAATGTCGGCGGTGAGTGTAAGGAGCACACAAAGAACCCTTTTCCATGTGGCTGTACTAATCGCAGGGTTTCCTCTTGCGCAGCTGTCGAACCCGGCCGTCAACAATCCTCACATGAATTCAAGGGCATAGTCCACGATCAGACCACCATCTGAGTCACTATGCGTCCAGAATGGTGACCGGGGCGGCCTTGACTGGCGGGCCTTCGCCCCTGCGGCCCCGCCCAGTGGTGCGGAGGTCCAGGGCGCAAGGCCCCCGGCAACGCAATCCTCGCACTCCCACGCAATGTGCAACCGGACCCGACATCATTGTCGTCGGTTCCGGGATCACGGGCCTGGCCATCAGCCTCGAGCTGCTGCGCACCGCCCCGGGCCTCACCGTCACGTGCCTGGACGGCCTGGGCCAGCTCCCGGGGGGCGCCACCGGTGCGGGGCAGGGCTACCTCTGGCTGGCGCACCGCACACCCGGCTCCCCCGGCTGGACCCTGGCCCAGCGCAGCAAGGAGATGTGGCGGGGCTGGCCCGCGCCCGGTGTGGACGTGGGCTGGCGCGGCGCCGGCAGCACCCTGCTCGCCGCGGACGCCGCCGGCGGCGTGCAGCTGGAGCGCACAGCGGCCGCGCTGGCCGGCGCCGGGGTGGCGGCCAGCGTGCTCGGCGCGCGTGAGCTCGCGGCCGTGGAGCCGGCGCTGGCCCACGACCGCCTCGCCGCCTGGCCGGCGGGCGGCGCCGCCGCGCTGCTGGTCGCCGGGGACGAACAGGTGGACGGGCGCGCGGCGGCCGCCGCCCTGCGCGCCGCATGCCTGCGCCACGGCCGCCGCTTCGCCTTGGTCCCTGGCCGGGTGCCGAGGCTGGGGATCCCGGGCGTGAAAGGGAGCGTGCCCAGCGTCTTCTTGGAGGACGAGGAGTGAGTCAGTAAAGGTCCACCTGTTTGGGGGTGGGGATCCTCGGCTCCCCTGCAGGGGGGCCGAGGACCTCACATAGGCGTATGTAGGAGTCGGAGCTAGGGTTCTCGCGTGCATGTCCTGGCATGATCAATCAGTCTGGAGCCCCACCCGCCCCATGCCGGCTGGGAAGGCAAGGGCACACCGACACGCAGCACCGCTCTTTGGGGATTGGCGATGCCGAGTGCTTTGTCTGGGCATAGGTATCACCCCAAGCAAACACAAACAGCCCCCGTGCATGCCAACTCCACAGGCTGCGACCTTGCAAGGGCGTCGTCCTGGCGGCGGGGGCGTGGAGCGGCGCGCTTCTGGAGGCCAGCTGGCCGGACGCCTGGGCGGCCTGGGCGGGCGAGCTGGCGCCGCGGCGCGGTCTCCTCCTGGACCTGCCCTGGCCCCGGGGCCTGCCGACTCTGCACACGGGGACCATGGAGATGGAGTACGCACGCCACTACCTCCCCCGCCCCGCGGCGACCCTGGGCACCCCGTTCCCGCAGGCCGGCGGGGCGGGGGCCGCCGCCGACCGGAACCTGGCGTCGCCGGCGGTCAGCATAAGCTTCACGGCCACCCGCGGCGCGGCAGGGCGGCTGCTGCTGGGCAGCAGCCGCGAGTTCGCCGGCTTCGACCTGGAGGCCGGGGTGCCCGCCGTCGCGGACGCCGTGCTCGACCGCGCGCGCGCTTTCCTGCCAGGCCTGCCCGGCTCCTGGGCGGCGGCGCACGGCGCCGAGCTGCGCGTGGGCCTGCGACCCTACGCCGAGGTGGGTGTGCCACTGGGGTCCCAGCAGGGGGGCCGGTGACTCGCGCTTGCTGTGACAGGAGTTCACTCCTCGCCTCAGGTTTTCACCGCTGGGCTGGCCGGGGAGCGTGCCGCCAGTTCCTCCCGGAGTCCCCTCCCACCCTGGTGCCGACAGCCACCCTCCCTGCCCTCCCTCACCCTCGCAGCGGGGGCTGCCCCACATTGGACCGGTGCCGGGGTGCCCGGGCCTCTGGCTCGCCGCGGGGCACGAGGGATCGGGCCTGCTGCTGGCGCCAGCTGGCGCTGAGCTGGCGTGCGACCACATCCTGGGGCGCCGCCCGAGGCTGGGGGCGGAGGTGGCCCAAGCCTGTATGCCCGCCTGCTGACGGCCGACCCGGCGACTGGGCTGTGCTGTCATCGCATCATGCAGCTGGCCTGTGTTCTGCACCCTGCCAACCCCTGACCAGCACTGTGTGCAGCAATCCTTGTTGACCAACATCTGAGTGAAGTCAAAGGCATGTGGACGTTGCAAGGTGGAGTAGTTTTCTGCCTGGAGGGCGCTGGTCCATGTGGGATCCGGGATCTCACCCCTGAATACAGAACACGAGACAATCAGCAGCGACGAGGCGCAGGTGCGAGATCTCACGCGCACGCTTTTGCCATCACGAATGCCGGGCCGGAAAGTGCAAGTTAATTCTCTCACATACTGTGGCATACAAGCACCTGCCAGGTATACAAATCCCTTCGCAGCACGTCCCGAATATTGCCGCGGGGTTCATCAGAACCCTACTCTTTGTGGCACTCACCCGGCCATACCCTGGGTCCCGGGTGTCCTGCCCTCGCAGAATTCCACTCACACCCATCATGGCAGAGTCGGTGTCGCAAGCCCTCCTTGTGGTGGACATGCAGAACGACTTCCTGCTGCCCTCCTCCCCAGTCTGTGTGGCTGGCGGGATGGATGCGGTCCCCGCCGTCATGCAAGCTGTGCAGTTTGCCAGAGAGAATGGCGTGCCAGTCATCTGGGTCTTGAGGGCGCACCATCACCTAGGTTTGTCCAAAGAATACTGGACTGGAGTCATGACTGACTCAGGTCAGGGGTGGCAGTGCATGCGCGTCTGCTTAGTCACATGGTTCAAGCTGCTTTCGACACCCAGGACGAACCCACTGCCCTCCAGGCGTGGACGTGGAGATCTCAAGAAAGGGCCACTTCAGTGATGGAGCAGGCGTGTGCGTCTACGGGACGCCAGGTAGGGGGCACCACGGCCTTTTGTGCGGAGGGGCTGGTGCTGTACCTCTCCCCCACCTCGGCACATGCCTTCATGCCAACAGGTGGTCGCCCGGCCAGGAGGGCGCCTGTCCCTGACAGTGCAGCCTCCTCCCCCTCCCGTGTGCGTACCTCCAGGTGCCAGCCTCGTGGCAGGGCTCCAGGCAGACCCTCAAGAGATTGTCATTCACAAGCAGCGCTTCAGTGGATTCATGTGCACCGAGTTGGACCTGGTGCTGCGGTGGGCGTGGGCACGGGTGTGACTCGGAGTGGGCCATGGGCACCCATGCCCCGGCATGGTGCAACAGTCACGCTGCCGCCTGCCGAAGATCACCGTAGTGCGCAACACAGAGTAGTCTCACAGCCCCATCCAACCCTCTGTTCCCCCACCCCCCTGCAGGCGGCTTGGAGTGACACGTGTCACCATCTGCGGGGTGCAAACCCCCAACTGCATCAGGGCCACCGCCTTTGATGCCGTGGCGCTGGGGTATGCCCAGGTGAGGGTCTGAGGGGCGGGATGGCAGGCCCCGGTCAGGCACTCGGCCCATCGAGGCATGGGCTTGGCATTTAGCGAGGAGCGCTCACCCTGCCTCCTCGCACCGAGTGGCAGATCGCTCCCCTGAATGACGTCGCTCCCTCCAAGCTGTCCCCTCCCGCACATGTTCCACTCCATTCCCTTGGGTACCACAGGTGGAGGTGCTGTCGGATGCCACCGCATCGGCCAGCAAGGCGGTGCAAGCGGCCAACCTGTATGACTTGCGCCAGGTCGGGGTCTGCACCCCCAGTCTGGAAGAATGGGCCTCTGGTATTGTCGCCCAGGTGGCTGCACACTCTGCCATCTGAAGGGGGCCAGCCTTTGCGGTGACTGTCAGAGGCAGCGAGTTTTGCTGCAGACCTTGAATTTTCCTCCTTGCCACAGGGCATGCATGAGGAGGGCGACCCCTTTGCCTCACACATGCCATTGACTGACCATACCCCTCATGTTGACTTGGCCCTTCATGCCAACAGAGACACCCATCACCATCAGAGACTCCACTCTATTACATTGGCGCATGTGCATGCCTGCTGTACAAAAGAATGAGCCAGGAGACCACGTGCCCTGACCATGTATGCAAGCAGTGGCTGGCAGGCTGTTTATTTGTGTGAGCGACGCCACCGGGGAAAGGATCGGTGTGTGGCTAGTCTAGGTGCACGATGTCATTTCCACAGGCACTGGCTTCCATGGCCCCGGCACCACCTGGCCATGGCGGTCTCGGTGGCCAGGCAGGTCCCAGAAGAGGTCATACCTGCATCGGTGTTGGATTGAAAAAGAACGCTGATGAAAAGATGGGTCAGGGGAGGGGGGGGTTCCAGACGCCAGATTGGCTCAAGAGAACCAGCCTCAAGTCCATTGCCTAGCACTCCACCCACCACCATCCTCTCTCCACACACCCTATGTGGCCCGGGCTGCCTTCCACGCAGCAGTGGCTGGACATGAGGGGGTTGAGCTTCCTGCTGTAGCCCTCCAACTCTTTGGGCGTCAGCACCATCAGGCGCTGTATGCCGCCCTTCACATGCAGTCTCTGCATTGGGTGTGGATGGTGTGTGTGTGTGTGGGGGGGGGGGGGGGCCCGGGGGGGGGGT